GACTGACAACTGATTGCAAGAAGAAGAAGAAGACGACGACGACGAAGAAGAAGTCGAAGAAGTGCAAACCTGCCGGCCGGCGGACTAACTGACTGACTCTCACTCCGTTGCATCGGAATGCTCTTGGAAAGCAGCAGACGAGCACTTGAAGGTGCAGGCTGAGGTAACGGGTCGTTTCTATCCTTGGGGAAGAAAAGTGGTGTCGTAATTGAGATGTCACAGCAGTTGTTTTATGTGAGGCAACAAAAGTACGAACACTTGTGGGTTCTTGGGAGCTATGCTTGGGTAGTTTACGTGGTGTCTGTTACTGGAGTGTTTGTTTTTCGGAGGACTTTTAGTTCTACGGCTACTTTTAGCTTACTCCCTCTCCACATTTAGAAACAGATCGTTACTTTGTCAAAATAGGCTCGTCACGTTGTTAACGACACGCGGATGTTGGACACATGAAAAAATCAACCGCGGTACATTTGTTCAATTATCATCTTCAATAATCAATTGATCATGAATTGTTACTCGTTTCTGCTGTTAACAACAGCTGTAGAATTGTACTTTTACGTAAGTAGGATTTGAAAGAGTTTTCTTTTTCTACTTTGACCAAATCTGCACTTTGACTGAAAGTTACAGGGTGTAAGTAAGTACTTGAGCCACTTTTGTTTTTTTTAGGCTAAGCTCCCTGTTTTGTGTGTTTCCCCACAGAGGACCGCGGCCGTGTTCCAAAAGTGCAGCTCTGCTCTCTCCTGACGTCACTGGAGCAAAAGAATTCCCTCTTCAGCCTTTGAGCTATGCCGAGCAGCTGGTGGCCTCGCGGACGGTGCAGGACAACCGCACAAGCTGCAGCAACAACACAAGCGGCCTTTCCCTCCTCTCCAACAAGAGAAAAGCCTTGCTGGGTCCAAACCACTGGAGAGGTGAGATTATTATTAATTTTTTTTTTTAAACCCTACTTTTAACTGGTCCTTCTGTGATGTACTCCCCCCCATACTTGGATATATAAAGGTCTGATTTCAGAAATGACTGTTAGTGACCTCAAAGTGGGCCTGGGATTAATCGATTTCTGTAGTTCAAAGTCCGGCCTGTTGAAGCGCACTACTTCCACCAACAACATGGTTGTGAACCCATTGAGCAATTTGTTGACTCTACTTCCTGTTTTGTGACAATTTTAGAAAAGGAACCTGGGACGTGATATCATTCACCGCCATACAGTTTCAAAGTAAACTGACTGAGAGCATTTTGACTGATC